GGGTAACCCTTAGGAAAAATCTCGGAAAAATAAAAAAATTTTTTGTTGTTGTTTATTACTAGCAATGTTCTTCCGACGTCTGTTACTTTTTAAAATATGCGTTTCTAAAGTCCATAAACTTTTGGGATTGACTGTATAGCCAATACATTCTTAACATAACAATTAGTTATTGAAACGTTGAAGACAGGGACGAATTAAATATTCACGTTATTATTTTTTCGTGTTGCGAGTAACTCGTGGCGCCATCTAGCGTAATCGGCTCGAAATATACACTTTGTATTAGGCAAATATAAAGTGATAGGAAGTTCCACTAACTCCTCGTGTGACGTCAGCAACAGGAGTTAGTGGTGCCTCCTTTGATTCATATTCTCCTAATATGAAGCGTGATTGGTTAGAAATCCAAAATGGCCAACGATTGGAAGCACGATTGGAAGCATCCGTGATTATATTCTGTGATTGGTTAGAAATCCAAAATGGCCAACGAATGTTTACGATTTCTAAATTCACTCTGTTTTAATATGAAGCGTGATTGGTTAGAAATCCAAAATGGCCAACGATTGAAAGCATTCGTGATTATATTCTGTGATTTGTTAGAAATCCAAAATGGCCAACGACTGTTCACGATTCTTAAATTCACTCTGTTTTAATATGAAGCATGATTGGTTAGAAATCTAAAATGGCCAACGAATGGAAGAGTCCGTGATTAGTTGTTCCAATGGATGGAAGAATTAGTGGTTCCTCCTTTGATTCATATTCTCCTAATACAGAGTCCGATTTTAGAGAAATATTTGGCTTGGAAATCGACTTTGTATTAGGAGAATATGAGTTGGTAGCAAGTATCATTAACCATAAGGTGTGTTCTTGCGCATCCATTGGAACAAATAATCACGGACGCTTCCATTCGTTGGCCATTTTAGATTTCTAACCAATCACGCTTCATATTAAAACAGAGTGAATTTAAGAATCGTAAACAGTCGTTGGCCATTTTGGATTTCTAACAAATCACAGAATTTAATCACGGATGCTTTCAATCGTTGGCCATTTTGGATTTCTAACCAATCACGCTTCATATTAAAACAGAGTGAATTTAAGAATCGTAAACAGTCGTTGGCCATTTTGGATTTCTAACAAATCACAGAATNTTATCAATATTTATCGGACGCACGTGGTTATTTTCGCCATCTGTTGACGACGAGAATAAACCGTCACATTGACCGGGTTCGGGAATTCGTAGTTTCGAAAGATACAGTTGTCTTTTTGTTTGTGTTCAGCTTGACGGTTGCAACTAGAGGACTTGTGTTTGAAAATTAAATGTTCGGACCTAACAGAACGGCCGGCGAGAAGGTCACTTACGTTTCAATCACGCGAGTGTTTCCGATGAACTGAGTCAACGATTTTTATTAAGGAACGTCGATTCCCCTGTCAGAAACAATCCTTCACACGTCCTCGTTCTCTCGAGGTAGGTTCGAATCCAACGAAGAATCCTTTTTACTTCTTGTCATCCATCAGGAATCGTCGGCGGTTAAAAGTTCACCATTAATTCAACTGTATTCGAAATACACTGTCGATTGTGCAACAAAATTTCCATATAAAGAGGCCTAATCGATCTTAATTTCCAGTGTACGTAACATACTTTTGTTTTGCACAGATTTTCGATCATGGAACAGGACACAGAATACGTAAAATTGCCATTGGAAGAAAGATGCGTGCACAAATTATGGCGAGCACGACTGCACGGTTACAAAGAATGCGTGAACACGTTTCAATGCATAGACGACGAGAAGTCACCCGAATGGAACAAATTCCTTGGTTTCATAAAGAAATTCGTATCAGACAGTAACGCCGTCACTCGAGGTAGGTTCGAATCCAACGAAGAATCCTTTTTACTTCTTGTCATCCATCAGGAATCGTCGGCGGTTAAAAGTTCACCATTAATTCAACTGTATTCGAAATACACTGTCGATTGTGCAACAAAATTTCCATATAAAGAGGCCTAATCGATCTTAATTTCCAGTGTACGTAACATACTTTTGTTTTGCACAGATTTTCGATCATGGAACAGGACACAGAATACGTAAAATTGCCATTGGAAGAAAGATGCGTGCACAAATTATGGCGAGCACGACTGCACGGTTACAAAGAATGCGTGAACACGTTTCAATGCATAGACGACGAGAAGTCACCCGAATGGAACAAATTCCTTGGTTTCATAAAGAAATTCGTATCAGACAGTAACGCCGTCGCTCAAGAAAAAGGTTTAGAAGCTACATTAGCCTTCGTGGAGAACGCAGCAGTCGCAGGGAAGACCGTCGGAGAAGTAATGAACGGGATAGTCACAAAATGCATCGCTGCGCCTAAAACAAAAACAAAGGAACTGGCAGTTCAAATAACGTTGATGTACATAGAAATCGAAAAGCACGAAGCTGTTCAAGAGGAATTGTTAAAAGGAACTGAAGCGAAGAATCCAAAAATAGTCGCCGCTTGTATTTCCACACTGACTTTGGCTTTGAGGCAGTTTGGACCGAAGGTGATTAACATCAAACCTTTAGTAAAAAAGATCCCCAGTTTTCTGGAGGACAGAGATAAAATCGTCCGAGACGAAGGCAAATTTATGGTAATCGAGATTTACAGATGGATCGGGTCTCCGTTAAAGCAGCAGTTAAACACATTGAAGCCTGTACAACTAACAGAATTAGAAACAGAATTTAATAATTTAACACAGGAGAAAGTGGCGCCTATTCGATTTCTGAAATCGCAGAAACCGAAAGAAACTTGCATTACAGATTCCACGAGCGACACCGGCGAGGAGGGCAAAGACGATCCTGATAATGGCTCCGTTCCTGAAGTCGACCTTTACGAGATGTTAGAACCAGTCGACATTCTTTCAAAACTCCCAAAAGATTTCTACGAAAAGGTCGAGGCTAAGAAATGGCAGGAACGAAAGGAAGCCGTGGAAGCTTTAGAGGCTCTTGTAAAAAATCCTAAATTAGAAAACGGCGATTATGGAGACTTAGTAAGAGCCTTGAAGAAGATAATATCGAAGGACACAAACGTATTAGTCGTCGCCTTGGCTGGTAAATGTTTAGCAGGACTCGCGTCTGGACTTAAAAAAAGATTTCAACCTTACGCCCCCGCGTGTCTCTCGTCGATCCTAGAAAAGTTTCGTGAAAAGAAACAAAACGTGGTGCTTGCTCTAAGAGAAGCCGCCGATGCGATTTTCCTCACAGTATCAATCGACGTAATATTAGAAGACACGGTGGCCGCGTTGGAGAACAAGAATCCTGCAGTAAAAGCAGAGACTGCGACTTACTTAGCGAGGTGCTTCGCACGTACTCCTCCACCGAGCTTTAATAAGAAGCTTCTAAAAGCTTATACCAGCGCATTATTAAAAACTTTGAACGAACCGGATCCAACTGTGCGAGACAGCTCCGCCGAGGCTCTTGGAACAGCCATGAAACTCATCGGCGAGAAAGCTATGATGCCGTTCCTCACAGACATGGATAATTTAAAATTGACGAAGATCAAAGAATGCGCAGAGAAAGCTGTGATACACGTTAAAGTTCCTACAGCGTCGAAGGTTTCCGAGAGGCCCAACACAGCGCCTAGTAAAATTGAATCAACTGCTAAGACTAAGAAAGAAACGAAACCCGCAAAGAGGCCGAATACTAGTACGACTAAAAAGCCTTCTTCTAAGAAACCATCAGCGTCTTCGTTGACTAATTTGGCTGGTTCGAAGAAGTCAGGTTCTAAACTGCAAACGGAGAAGAATTACAGCGTTGAGGAGATAGAAGAAATGGCCATGCAATCTTTGCCAAGCGACGTTTTGTCTGGTCTCGTTGATAGCAATTGGAAGAATCGATTATCTGCAGTTGAACAACTCTTTGAATTTGTTAAACAAATGGATCCAGTGGAAATACCTGTACAAGTAGTCGTACGAACCATGGCTAGGAAACCTGGGTTCAAAGACACTAACTTCCAAGTATTAAAACTGCGACTGGAAATAGTAAAATTCTTAGCAGAGAATTTTCCATTCTCTACAATCGTCTGCGAATATTGTATCATGGACATAACTGAGAAGCTTGGCGATTCTAAGAACAGCTCAGTCGCTGCTGAGACTCTCCTCGCCATAGCAGAAGCGACGAGCTTGGAATACGTAGCTGACGAAATTCTAGGCTTCGCTTTTAATCAAAAGAATCCTAAAGTTCAACAGGAAACGTTGAGTTTGTTGTCCAGGGCGCTTACGGAATTCGGCTGTGCCGTGAACGTGAAGTCTGTAATGGAGAACATGAAGAAAGCAGTCGCTGCTACAAATCCTGGAGTTCGTACAGCAGCTATTACTCTATTAGGCACGCTATATTTATTTACTGGGAAGCCTCTGTTGACGTTCTTCGAGAACGAGAAACCTGCCTTGCGACAACAAATTGAACAAGAATGTGAGAAGCATAACGGAGAAACACCGCCGGCACCGATTCGTGGGTCAAAGGGTAAGAAAGAAAAAGCCAGCGACGACGACGAGGATGTAGAAGTTGAAAAGAAATCGAACAGCAACAGCGAAATTGATATTAACAATTTAATCCCACGTATTGATATCAGTAATCAAATCACAGAAGGTCTTCTTAATGAATTATCTGATAAAAACTGGAAAGTACGAAACGAAGGACTGCAGAAGGTAAACGCGATAATATCAGAAGCGAAATTTATTAAAGGATCCATCGGCGATCTCCCGCAAGGTTTGGCTTTACGTTTGGTAGACAGTAACAGTAAAATAGCTCAGTCGACTTTAGGAATTTGTCAGGCGTTGGCTGTGGCCATGGGACCTCCTGCCAAGCAGCACATCAGGGTTCTCTTCCCTGGGTTTATTCAATGTTTAGGAGATAACAAAACCTGGATCAGAACCGCAGCTATTTCCTGTATAAACACTTGGGGCGATCAATGTGGATATAAAGAGTTCTTCGACGGTGAGATGATCAGCGACGCTCTTAAATCCGGCTCGCCTATTCTTCGATCAGAAGTCTGGAATTGGTTGTCACAAAAATTGCCTCTGATTCCCGTGAAGCAAGTCTCCAAAGAGGAGCTCTTCGTATGTCTTCCACATTTGTATAACAATTTGGAAGACAGGAATTCTGATGTGCGTAAGAACGCACAGGAAGCAGTTCTGGGATTCATGATTCATCTGTCGTACGAAGCAATGGCTAGGAACACAGAGAAACTGAAACCAGGATCAAGAACAGTGGTCCTGACTGCGTTGGAGAAATCGCGTCCGAATTTGCCTATTAAACCTCTGCCTTCGAAGAAACCAGCGGCGGAGGGGAATCAGAAGGTGGTTAAAAGCGGAGGAGCGGTTAATGCTAGCAAGGCGACGGTGAAGCCGAAACAGAATCAAGCGTCGTCGAAACCTGGCAGCGCTAGGAAGAAGGACGACGACGTGGACACGAGTCCATTACTGGCTACTAATAATCTTAAACATCAACGAGTGATCGATGAACAAAAGCTGAAAGTATTAAAATGGAACTTTACTACGCCTAGGGAAGAATTCGTCGAGCTTCTGAAAGATCTCATGACTGCTGCAAATGTGAACAAAACGTTACTGGCGAACATGTTCCATTCAGATTTCCGGTACCACCTGAAAGCCATCGAGGCACTCACCGAGGCAAGTAATCTTGTAAAACAGAGAGTTTTATTCTATAATTGTTTTATTTTATTATATTATATATTGCAGGATTTGCCTGAGAACAGCAAGGCTTTGGTGTCGAATTTAGATCTGATTCTTAAATGGCTGACGCTGAGATTCTTCGACACTAATCCTTCAGTATTATTGAAAGGTTTAGAATATCTGCGAGTAGTGTTTAATTTATTAATAGAAAACCAGTATCACATGTTGGAGAACGAAGCCGCGTCGTTTATTCCTTATCTTCTCATCAAGGTAAAAAACATTCATAATTTTTCTGCTTATTTTTATATATCATTATACAATTTGTTATTTAGATCGGCGATCCGAAAGACGCGGTGCGCAATGGGATCCGCGCGTTGTTTAAACAAATAGCGTTGGTTTATCCAGTGAGCAAATTATTTTCTTACGTGATGGAAGGATTGAAATCGAAGAACGCCCGGCAGAGAACCGAATGCTTGGATCAGCTCGGCTCCCTTATTGAGAATTACGGATTATCTGTTTGCCAACCGTACGCTTCTGTAGCGTTGAAAGAAATAGCGAAGCAAATTGCAGACAGGGATAACTCTGTTCGTAACGCAGCCCTGAACTGCATCGTTCAAGCGTATTTTCTTCAGGGAGAGAAAGTGTATAAACTGATCGGGCAGGTAATCGTTTCTTGATTGTAATAACAATGAATTATTATAGTTTTCTTATGTAAATTCCAGATGTAAATTTAATGTAATATTAATTTTAATTGTAAATTTTTATTCAATTTGTATTTAAATTGTAATTAATGTAAATTTCTTATGTAAATGGCAGATATCTGAAAAGGATCAGTCGTTGTTGAATGAACGCATAAAACGAGCTGCTAAAAATCGGCCGACGAAGTCTGCTTCTGCGAACAGACTTCCAACACCGGCGAACGTGACGCCTACTCCTGAAGACGTAAAAGCTGATTACGAAGAGGAGAACGAGGATTTACAAGAACCGCAGATTTTACCTTCTCAGGTTTCCAACGAATTGTAAGCAAGGATTGTTTATTTGTTTTAATAATTAACTTTGCACGCATTCATCGCTTCCGCAATTAATCATTTTTTAATACAAATTCTAGTTTTGAAGTTTGATTTCTTTTTAATTTATATTTGGACGAATTTGCTTTTACGTCGTTCCCCAGGCCACAGACTGAAAACGTACAGAACGAAGTTGAAACGCAGACCGAAAATGCGAAGACAGAAATCATGCCTGACAAACTGCAAGAATCTCGTGAAATTAATGAAACTCCTAAAGAAACCTCGACGGGGACGAGCTTTTCGTCTCTGAAAGAAACCTCGACGGAAACTAACACCGTTTCGCCTCCGAAAGACGAAGACGATTTAAAAACGTTCGTGCTTCTTGTGATCTGTTTTCAGTGTGCTCTATGCGCTGTGTGGTGGCGGGTATACGGGATATACAACGATTCTAATTAATTTACTTGCACAATTCTGTAAATCATTAATTTATAAACCTGCTTTCCCTTTACAAACGTTCGTTGTTTTCTACGTTTGTCAAAATTCGAGTTTTTTAAGGATCTATTGGCTATATAGTCAATCCCAACAGTTTATGCACTTTAGAAACGCATTTTTTAAAAAAGAATCACACGTCGGAGGAATATTGCTGATATTAAACGACAAAAAAAAATTTTCGATTTTTCTGAGATTTTTCCAAGGGGTACCCCTTCAAATTTTGTGAAATTTTCGTTTTTTGCCAATAACTCCTGAACTGTTGGAGTTACGGGGATGTATGTACGCTCATTTTGTAGGGGACGACGAGATCTACAATTTCCATGTAAAAAGTTTTCGCTAGCGTTAATAGTTTACGAGTAATTTGCAAAAAACTGTTTTTTCGTTTTTCGTAAATAACTCGTAAACTACTGACGCTATCAACAAAATTTTATATGGAAATTGTAGATCTCGTCGAGCTCTACAAGAAAGGTTCTATGCAATTTTCTCGTAACTTCAAGGGTTTGGAAGTTATTGAGGAAAAACGAAATGTTTTGCCAAAAGTTCGCGATTTCGACGGTGGAATGGTCGGATTTCGTCAACATCAATAAAATGTCAAATAATCATGCTTAACTCGTTAAATACTGAAATTAGAAGAAAAATACATAAAACCTTTCATGTAGAGCACGTTAATAGCTACAAATTTTGTATATACGTCAATAATTGGGTATTTCCTTCTATACTTTTTAGCACGTAGCTATTTATTATTAACATTATTCTTCCGACGTCTGATTTCTTTTTAATTATGGGAAATCCGTTTTTGTAAGGTACATCAACTTTTCGGATTGACTGTATAGTCAATACATCCTTAACTCTGGTGGCCATCCGTTGATCATTCTCACACGATTTTAATTTATAGAAACTCTCCCACGTCGGCACAACCGAAAGTCTCTGGTCCCTTTGGATTAGACATGGACTTCCTGCAAAGAATCGAATTGAACGCTCCTGTAAAGTATAAAAATCCAGTTCTCCAGGATGTTAATATACCAGACATAAGTCCACCCACGAACGTACAGTGAGTAACCATAATTACTTTAACAACAAACATAAATTGTCAACGTAATTTATATTTTTCAGAGTGATACCGATATCCCCTCCGAAGTTGTTAGTATCCAAGTCTGCGTCTTTAGCACAGCAGCAATTGAGCTCACCGAATCCTAACAAAGAGGACAGCCTCGAACGTAAAATCCTAGCAATGGCTAGCTTAGATCTAGCAGTGGCAATACAATCGATGAACAGCATAGACAACGTTCGTATTTAACACTTTAAAGATTCATAAATTAATCTAATTAATAATCTTAAATAAAATAGAAATTCTTTTTCTTCAGTTGATAAGATCTCACCAGTTTTTAAGTCTGCAATCTAAAGAGGATAAATTCATCGGTTCTATAAACATGCAGTTAAAGCTTCTCCAAACTTATCCCCTTCAACAAGGAGGAACAGACATCTCTAAAGGCTTTCGTAAAACATTTATGATCCTCCTTGCGGTAAGAACGTATTTTATAATTATTTATTCTAATTCTTATAATAATTATTTAATATAAAATCGTTTACAGTTCTACGACACTAGAATCCTGGGTAAGAACGTTCCGTTGATACATTTGAAAGAACTCGTGGATCAGATGATCAGTTTACTGGCAGAGAGGAAATTGAATCATTTGCATCAAGCGGACGCGTACTACCGCGTGATTAATAATATCGTTTGTAAGATAATAGACAACTCGAACCATACGACTATCATATGGTAAATAATGAAATGGGAAGCACTTCTATTTTACGTTTTTTTTAAATAATTCTTAATTGATTTCAATCTCTTTTTCAGTGCTTTAATTAAACTGCTTCATGGGTGCGCGGAATCTACTGGGCCGTACGAGGAGTTAGTTATGAAGTGTTTATGGAAAGTTGTAAAAACGATTCCTGATTGGGCTGCGGATTTGGATTACGACACGATCCTCTTAGAAGTGCACCGATTCCTCAAGGATTATCCAACCGTTTGGTGGAAGAAACGCAAGTCTGATACTCCGCTGCGAACTATTAAAACTATTCTCCACAGCATGACTCGAGTAAAGGGCAGCACGATTCTCAGTCATTTGACACGGATAAATAATACGAATGAATCAGAATTGCATTCTTATTTAATGAGATTGATCACGGTCAGTTTTATATTATTGTTGTACATGAAAGTTTGATGGATTTTAATGATTAATGATCGTTCTTTCTGTAATATACCTTCAAGCCGGATGAAATTAACAGTAATTCTAGATCGGCTGTGAAATCGAACAGCCCAGGGAAGCCTCAGGAACATTTGTCGAAATTCACTCATCAACAATTGTCTGAGATATTTAAAAAGATCGGATCTAAAGATCACACGCAAGAGGTAAGGTTTTGGTATATTTATGATAATACATCAGTGTCTTCTTTGATGCGATGTACGTATATTTTATACAGGGTTTAATGCAACTCTATGATTTTAAACTGCAATACCCCGAAGCGGACGTGCAACCGTTCTTGACGAAATCTCATCAATTCTTTCAGGATTTTATTGAACAAGGTTTAAGGGATATCGATCAAGCGCGAAAGAATCAAAACCTTATAACGCAAACTAATAATCAATACTCGGCAGGTAAACGAATTTATCGGATCTGAAGTTGAATTAATTAAGGATGTATTGGCTATACAGTAAATCCGAAAAGTTTATGTACCTTAGAAAAACGCATTTTCTATTATTAAAAAGAAATCAGACGTCGGAAGAATAATGCTAATAATAAATAGCTACGTGCTAAAAAGTATAGAAGGAAATATCCAATTAAAATTATCTAAAATTTCTTTTTAAAAAATGCGTTTCTAAAGTGCATAAACTTTAGCCAATACATCCTTAAATCGTTGATTGCCTGCCGTAGAAATAGCAGAATCCTCCGAGGCGAAGAGTTTAATGGATCCGTTGCACAGGCTCGAGAAACTCCGAGCGACCGAAGCACAATGTAGAACCACCAGCCAACCGAGCCCCACATGAATCAACTTCTATTAACACTTACTAGGTAAGATGATGAACAAAAGGGATTAAAAATGTTCGTAGAGAATCGCGACGATCGCGAACGAATAAACTTTCTATTGCAGGGTTACAGTGCTTAAATATCTGGAGAACCAATAACGCATACACGGTATTTAATAGCGCATAGATCATGAAGAAAATAATCATGTTACGCTGTTCCAACGTCAAATGGTAGCATTTATGTTTACGACTCTCTAGCAGCGTACTAATTATGCCCTTTTAAAATAATCGCGAACTCCTACTACTACTACTATTACTCGTATTTATCGAAACCAGGAAGAGAAAGAAAGAAAGAAAGAAAGAAAGAAAGAAAGAAAGAAGATTAAGCTGTAAGAAGCTAGTATTATTATTATTACTCCGTTCAGACTGATTTTACAGGCACACAATTTTCGTTGTTTTAAAATCAACTCGTCTAGTATTTAAAAAAAAAAACAAAGACACGCGTTTATTATTTAATTAATTCGAACTTAATAGAAGAGAAAGCATGCTTTCCGGTATTTATAATTCTGGTATACGATCGTAGACATTACCTATCGTTTAACTTTTTCATGATGATAAAACATAGTAAAAGATGGTAATGGCGACGACTAAGACGATAATAATAATAATAATAATTTAAGATAAATGTCTTCTGGAGGTGATTTCCCGTTTCCAGAACATACTTAGTAGTGTCTATAGATTGTGTATATATTCTAACATAAAATGCATTCAATAAAAATATATCTTACAATAATCTCGTTTATTTGATACCAGGAACATATGCAATGCGCAACGCCTTGTTTAATTTTTAGAGCGAGATATACACATAAGTACACTTTCGACAATGCTTTTATTGAACTAATTGGAGAAAAAAAATGGTAATCATCGTCCCACTCTAAAAAATCGGGTTGCTGGAATGATAAAAAATATTCTCTTTTTATGTATAAGTCTGTACAATTGGGTGAGAGGTACATATACACATCTATGGAGACTTATGTATAATAATATGCATCCATTACCGGGAGTTACAAAATTGATATTCTCTTGAATAGCCTCAGCAATTA